TCCCATCTCTATAGAGCAGCCAACATGGCCCAAAGTGGTAAGTAACTTTTCGTGATTTGTTGCATTCTTTTGAAGTCTTACTAACATTGTGCCAGTTTTATACTTTCAGGGACTGGGAAGAGGAACAACGATGGAGGAGAAAGGTCGACCAACAGAAGACAAGATGACGAGTCCATTTCCCATCTCTATACAGCAGCCAACATGGCCCAAAGTGGTAAGTAACTTTTCGTGATTTGTTGCATTCTTTTGAAGTTTTACTAACATTGTGCCAGTTTTATACTTTCAGGGACTGGGAAGAGGAAAAACGATGGAGGAGCAGGGTCGACCAACAGAGGAAGACGAGATGACGAGTCCATTTCCCATCTCTATACAGCAGCCAACATGGCCCAAAGTGGTAAGTAACTTTTCGTGATTTGTTGCATTCTTTTGAAGTTTTACTAACATTGTGCCAGTTTTATACTTTCAGGGACTGGGAAGAGGAACAACGATGGAGGAGCAGGGTCGACCAACAGAGGAAGACGAGATGACGAGTCCATTTCCCATCTCTATACAGCAGCCAACATGGCCCAAAGTGGTAAGTAACTTTTCGTGATTTGTTGCATTCTTTTGAAGTCTTACTAACATTGTGCCAGTTTTATACTTTCAGGGACTGGGAAGAGGAACAACGACGGAGGAGAAAGGTCAACCAACAGAAGACGAGATGATGAGTCCATTTCCCATCTGTATACAGCAGCCAACATGGCCCAAAGTGGTAAGTAACTTTTCGTGATTTTTTGCATTCTTTTGAAGTCTTACTAACATTGTGCCAGTTTTATACTTTCAGGGACTGGGAAGAGGAACAACGATGGAGGAGCAGGGTCGACCAACAGAGGAAGACGAGATGACGAGTCCATTTCCCATCTCTATACAGCAGCCAACATGGCCCAAAGTGGTAAGTAACTTTTCGTGATTTGTTGCATTCTTTTGAAGTTTTACCAACATTGTGCCAGTTTTATACTTTCAGGGACTGGGAAGAGGAACAACGATGGAGGAGCAGGGTCGACCAACAGAGGAAGACGAGATGACGAGTCCATTTCCCATCTCTATACAGCAGCCAACATGGCCCAAAGTGGTAAGTAACTTTTCGTGATTTGTTGCATTCTTTTGAAGTCTTACTAACATTGTGCCAGTTTTATACTTTCAGGGACTCGGAAGAGGAACAACGATGGAGGAGAAAGGTCGACCAACAGAAGACGAGATGACGAGTCCATTTCCCATCTCTATACAGCAGCCAACATGGCCCAAAGTGGTAAGTAACTTTTCGTGATTTGTTGCATTCTTTTGAAGTTTTACTAACATTGTGCCAGTTTTATACTTTCAGGGACTGGGAAGAGGAACAACGATGGAGGGGCAGGGTCAACCAACATAGGAAGATGAGATGACGAGTCCATTTCCCATCTCTATACAGCAGCCAACATGGCCCAAAGTGGTAAGTAACTTTTCCTGATTTGTTGCATTCTTTTGAAGTTTTACTAACATTGTGCCAGTTTTATACTTTCAGGGACTGGGAAGAGGAACAACGATGGAGGAGCAGGGTCGACCAACAGAGGAAGACGAGATGACGAGTCTATTTCCCATCTCTATACAGCAGCCAACATGGCCCAAAGTGGTAAGTAACTTTTCGTGATTTGTTGCATTCTTTTGAAGTTTTACTAACATTGTGCCAGTTTTATACTTTCAGGGACTGGGAAGAGGAACAACGATGGAGGGGCAGGGTCAACCAACATAGGAAGATGAGATGACGAGTCCATTTCCCATCTCTATACAGCAGCCAACATGGCCCAAAGTGGTAAGTAACTTTTCCTGATTTGTTGCATTCTTTTGAAGTCTTACTAACATTGTGCCAGTTTTATACTTTCAGGGACTGGGAAGAGGAACAACGATGGAGGAGCAGGGTCGACCAACAGAGGAAGTCGAGATGACGAGTCCATTTCCCATCTCTATACAGCAGCCAACATGGCCCAAAGTGGTAAGTAACTTTTCGTGATTTGTTGCATTCTTTTGAAGTTTTACTAATATTGTGCCAGTTTTATACTTTCAGGGACTGGGAAGAGGAACAACGATGGAGGAGCAGGGTCGACCAACAGAGGAAGACGAGATGACGAGTCCATTTCCCATCTCTACACAGCAGCCAACATGGCCCAAAGTGGTAAGTAACTTTTCGTGATTTGTTGCATTCTTTTGACGTTTTACCAACATTGTGCCAGTTTTATACTTTCAGGGACTGGGAATAGGAACAACGATGGAGGAGCAGGGTCGACCAACAGAGGAAGACGAGATGACGAGTCCATTTCCCATCTCTACACAGCAGCCAACATGGCCCAAAGTGGTAAGTAACTTTTCGTGATTTGTTGCATTCTTTTGAAGTTTTACTAACATTGTGCCAGTTTTATACTTTCAGGGACTGGGAAGAGGAACAACGATGGAGGAGCAGGGTCGACCAACAGAGGAAGACGAGATGACGAGTCCATTTCCCATCTCTATACAGCAGCCAACATGGCCCAAAGTGGTAAGTAACTTTTCGTGATTTGTTGCATTCTTTTGAAGTTTTACTAACATTGTGCCAGTTTTATACTTTCAGGGACTGGGAAGAGGAACAACGATGGAGGAGCAGGGTCGACCAACAGAGGAAGACGAGATGACGAGTCCATTTCCCATCTCTATACAGCAGCCAACATGGCCCAAAGTGGTAAGTAACTTTTCCTGATTTGTTGCATTCTTTTGAAGTCTTACTAACATTGTGCCAGTTTTATACTTTCAGGGACTGGGAAGAGGAACAACGATGGAGGAGAAAGGTCGACCAACAGAAGACGAGATGACGAGTCCATTTCCCATCTCTATACAGCAGCCTACATGGCCCAAAGTGGTAAGTAACTTTTCGTGATTTGTTGCATTCTTTTGAAGTCTTACTAACATTGTGCCAGTTTTATACTTTCAGGGACTGGGAAGAGGAACAACGATGGAGGAGCAGGGTCGACCAACAGAGGAAGACGAGATGATGAGTCCATTTCCCATCTCTATACAGCAGCCAACATGGCCCAAAGTGGTAAGTAACTTTTCGTGATTTGTTGCATTCTTTTGAAGTCTTACTAACATTGTGCCAGTTTTATACTTTCAGGGACTGGGAAGAAGAACAACGATGGAGGAGCAGGGTCGACCAACAGAGGAAGACGAGATGATGAGTCCATTTCCCATCTCTATACAGCAGCCAACATGGCCCAAAGTGGTAAGTAACTTTTCGTGATTTGTTGCATTCTTTTGACGTTTTACCAACATTGTGCCAGTTTTATACTTTCAGGGACTGGGAAGAGGAACAACGATGGAGGAGCAGGGTCGACCAACAGAGGAAGACGAGATGACGAGTCCATTTCCCATCTCTACACAGCAGCCAACATGACCCAAAGTGGTAAGTAACTTTTCGTGATTTGTTGCATTCTTTTGAAGTTTTACTAACATTGTGCCAGTTTTATACTTTCAGGGACTCGGAAGAGGAACAACAATGGAGGAGAAAGGTCGACCAACAGAAGACGAGATGACGAGTCCATTTCCCATCTCCATACAGCAGCCAACATGGCCCAAAGTGGTAAGTAACTTTTCGTGATTTGTTGCATTCTTTTGAAGTTTTACTAACATTGTGCCAGTTTTATACTTTCAGGGACTGGGAAGAGGAACAACGATGGAGGAGCAGGGTCGACCAACAGCAAAAGACAGGATGACGAGTCCATTTCCCATCTCTATGCAGCAACCGATATGGCTCAAGGTTGTAAGTAACAAACTGATTATTTAAATGAAGTTTGTCATTTGTGAGTGATTCTCCTTTGATGTGTTTGTTTTCTCTTTTTAAGCAGAAGAAATTTGAGGCTGACCAGGATCCTGAAGTGAAGAGCAGTCCCTCTCCCTTTTAACAGCGTTCATGAGCAGAAAGTGCGGTAAGATTTATACTTGACCTCTGAGCACCTTTTCCCAATATTATGGCTTTCCAATTGATGTTGGATTTTTCAGGCTTTGACCTCTTGAGTTTGAATTGACAGGAAGCAGAGATTGCCACCTCTGAAGGTCAGTCTGGAAGTGTTTTCTGCTGCATTCAGAAAGTATGGGGTGTATAATAGTTGTAAGTAGCGTTACAAAGGTGTTTCTTAGTCTTAGGTTTAGTTTGTATAGTATTTCCCGTAGGTGCAGTTGTGTTGTAGTGAGTTAGTAAGTAGGCTTTAGTTGATAGTTAGACAGCTTAGAGGAGTGTAGGTTATTATTGTAATTACAGTATTTGTTAGTTAGTGCATGATTAGTGCTTGTGGTGGATAGATTTGCATGATTAACACCCTAACAAGCAGGGTTCTCCATGAGCTGTTTTACTGTGTTGGTCCCGACACAGAAAAATGTTCTCCGACACAGTAAAGATTCAAATTTTATCTGTGCGACACATTAAAAATTTTGCTGACACAGTAAGATCTGTGATAATAAAAAAAAATTGAAACATACAAATTCTCTCTATCTGAAACATAATTGATCAAACAATTCTACCGTCTTTCAATTCTATACGATATCTAGATCACTTAATTATGCTTTCACCTTGCATAATCAATTATTTCCTAGACCCTCAATGGACTTGACGCATGAAGAAACAAAGACAAAAAGTTGGATTTCAAACTTCCATGTAACGCTTATTTGGTACTAGTATTTGCAATTAAAGTACACTGTATTATTTTTAAAAATATATTTAAATGTCTTTTCTTTAGAGCCATGGCTCTAGAATTATGTTTGCAATGTAAATCAAACATAACACTGTACCAAAATCATTTACTTGATGTAAATAAATAGTTTTCAAGGAACTTTTAAAAGTATTTTACCATTCCGAAGTCTCTTTTTTTGTAATTCTTTAATTCGATCAATAAAATTGACAAAAAAATTATGACAAATTTGCTTTAAAAATTGTAAGTAGTTCAACTTTATAGACAAGAATTTCCTCTGCATTTCACAACATGTGGTAATATGTTCGACCATACTATTTTTGTAACGAATTGGTGATTTTTTTTTTTAATTGTGTGCATGTATTCTTAAGTAATTATAATGAATAGTGAGTCAGTTGCAAATTTGATCGTTAAAATACCGTGACATTTTAGTGCTTTGCGTAAACTCTGCAACACAGTAAAATTTTAAACAATGGAGAACCCTGAACAAGTAACAAGCTACTAAAACTACTAACGTCTGCTAAATGTTGTGTGACGCGTCTAGTGTGTTGGTGTTAGTGTCTGTGTGCTTGTCACCTCTCGCTTTCAGCCATCACCGCTGGCTAGCAGCAATGCGAAAAGGGGAAAGAAATTCTAATGACTTCCCCTGCCAGTACATAGCCTCTCCACAACAAGTCCTATGCGATGCCTCCACGTGGAAGCAGACGGATACTGGGTATCATTTTGTCCCAGGCTAAGTTCGCAAGGACGCACGGGAAGATGAGTCTCAAAAGCATTGGTAAACATCTCATATAGGATCTCTCCTGATCACAAACCCAATTTAGTAGTAGAATCAATTGATATAAGTGCTGGTTTTTAAAAGAAGTGAACCTTTGTTCATTTTATGTCTTTGTCATCTTTTTAGCTCACCTGAGCCAAAGGCTAAAGTGAGCTTTTCTGATCACATTTTGTCCGTCGTCTGTCCGTCCGTCCATCTGTAAACTTTTCACATTTTTGACTTCTTCTCAAGAACCACTGGGCCAATTTTGACCAAACTTGGTACCAAACTTGAGTGAAGGGGAATTTAAATTGTTAAAATGAAGGGCCAAGTCCCCTCACAAGGGGAGATAATCAAGAAAAGATAAAACTAGGGTGGGGTCATTAAAAAATCTTCTCAAGAACCACTGGGCCAGAAAAGCTGAAACTTCTGTGGAAGCATCCTGGGGTAGTGTAGATTCTAAATTGTTCAAATCATGACCCCCGGCGGTTGGGCGGGGCCACAATGGGGAATCAAATTTTTACATAGAAATATATAGGAAAAATGTTTGAAAATCTTCTGCTCAAGAACCACTGGGCCAGAAAAGCCAGAAAATTTCATTCTCGCATATAATATAATTCCTCAAGATTATATAGAGCAATGACCACAATTTTGAAAATTTTGTCTCGCTAATGAAGAGTCATTGACTATCTCGCGAAAATAAGGTGTTGCGAAATTTAAGTGATTTACAGTATATAGGAAACGTCTTCTCAATAATACCAAAGCCATATATAGTCATATTGATATGGAAGCATCCTTAGGTAGTGTAGATTCAAATTTGTCCAAATCTTGATTCCAGGGGGCAGGGAGGGGCATCAATGGGGATAAAATTTTAACAAAGGAATATATAGGAAAAAATTTTATGTTCAAGAACAGCTAAGCCATTGTTATTGATATGAAAATGTCTCCAGGTAGTTATTCAGGCCCCCCATCTCCTCTTTCTAAATTTTATACTTTTCAATACTAGACTAATTTGTCATTTACTAGCCAATATGCTTAGGTGAGCATATTGCCCATTGGCCACTAGTTTATTTTAGAAATCTTCTCACATGGTATGAAGTGCAAGTGATCCACTTTTGGTGTCTGTTAATTTTTATCTTTTTAAGAGGAATACTTTTAAGGCTGAACAGGATCCTGAAGTGAGGAGGACTCCTCTCTCATTGAATTGCATACAGCAGCAGAAAGCAGGGTAAGATTCAGATTTTACTTGTTGTATCTTTGCTTGCCTATTGATGTTGGCTGTAACAAGCTTTAACATCTGGACCTTCAATTGACAGATTTCAGTTCCCCTTTGATTCAGAAGAGGAACAACAATGGAGGACCAAGGTCATTAATATGAGAAGAGTCTATTGCTGTCTGTGTTTTGCAGGTATTATGTTTCAAAAGTGGTAAGCAACAAGCTGCTTTTTACTGAAGCTTCTCACTTGGTATGAAGTGAAGCTAGTGTTTCCCCTTTTATGTCTCTGTTTTATCTTTTTAAGCAGAAGAAAGTTAAGACTGACCAGGAATTCTAAGTGAGGAAGAGTCCCTTTCCCATTCTGCTGCAGCCATGAGGAGAATACTCGTAAGAATCAGACTTTACTTCTTTTTTACCTATGGAACTTCATCATGACCCACTTTAACAGGCAGAAGTCTTACAAGTATTTTTTATTTAATTATTTCTGACATATATTTGTCCTCCCTACTCTAAAGTAACTATGCTTTCCTCTCCTTGCCCCAATATTCCACCTTATCCCTAGCTATCATAACCTTATTGTCTTTATTTGCTTTTTGATTTTCAAGCTAATAATGTTGTAATGATTATGTTCATTTGAATTTCCGTGATTATTACATCGCTTTGTATTATTGCTTATCTTCTCTCCATCAAGTATTTTCAAGGAATTTGACAAGGAAAGAGGACCAGTGCTGACCAAGTGAAGAAAAAGAAGAGTCTATTGCCAAGCTTTGAACAGCAGCCAATATCTGATTAAGGAGTGGGTAAAAAGATTTATTTTTTGCAATTTACAAATTTTTCTTTATACACTTATCAGATCATAGGTCCAGGGGGATTTACTTCTGCGCTGCACAACAGCAAGACTGTGTTGCAATAACAATAGGGCATCCCGAGGATGTGTTGTTTCAAATTACGTTACATCATGATCCCTTTGGACTAGGATTAGTTATATCGTATAAAAAAAAATATGAATTAAGAATTTTTCTTTTGATGACAAAGTCAAGGTGAATTTTATATACTCAGGTGAACATTTTGGCACAAAAAGGTATTTAAATTCGTTATATCATGTTTTTTTCATTATCTTATGGATTTCCTTTGTTAACAAGTAGAAGAATGATGACAAAGTCAAGGTGATCTGGCACAAATCAGTTGGATTTCCTTTGTTAACAAGAATGTGGAAAGTAAGGACTTACTAGTGTCTAACCTAAACATTGATGGTTAGTCAGATCAGATGCATGTAAAGCTCTAGACCTTGCATTATGTGAATTAGAGGAGATTTTGACTCTCTCATTGCTTGGATTCTTAGTGTCTTTTTAATATGCAGACGGTTATGCTGGCATTGATCCTGTTTCCAAAAGCAGATCAACATGATTCCTCAAGACTCCAAAGAGATCAACTATGGGACCTGAAAATAAAGGTAAGACACATGTACAAGCTCTGCAAAGCTTAGCTATTTTTCATTTATTAAGATTTTATTAATATTTATGTTGAGTCCTTGTGATTTCTTTTTTTACAGGCAGACTGCCATCAATTTCATGTTTCTTTGATAGCAGACAAATATGCTTCAACAATAGTGCAGAGAGTAATTTAAGGTTTGGACTGCAAGTGATGGACACACTAAATAACTCAACTCAAAGAATTCAATGGATAGTGCTGAGTACATTATTATATATTTACAAAGTGATGGGCACACTAAATAGCTTAACTGACAGAATTCAATGGACCGTGCTGAGAACATTGTTATATATCTACAAAGTGATGGACACACTAAATAGCTTAACTGACAGAATTCAATGGACCGTGCTGAGTACATTGTTATCTACAAAGTGATGGACACACTAAATAGCTTAACTCACAGAATCCAATGAACAGAGTTGAGTATGTACTAATATCTACAAAGTGATGGACACAGTAAACAGCTTAATTCTCAGGATTCAGTGTACCATGCTGAGTACATAACTCATTAAAGATAATTCATATGACATCCACAGCAGATCACTCAAAGTTGTGTTACTACATTATTGTACAATTTTTCATATACTACGTTATTTTTTCTGAATGTTTTTTTTTTTGTATCTGTATATTATATTTTTTAATTTAAAAAAGTTAAAGATTGGATTTTTAAGCAAAAATATCAAGAGAGGTAAATCAGTGCTTGTCTGAATATCTAAGCTTAAGAGAAAGGGAGGTAATTTTTTTTATTGTGAATCCTTGTCCAGAGAATATGCTTTCTCCCCTTGGTCCAATGTGGCTAATACTTCTCTCACATAGTGCCACTGGTCAATGGATGTGTAGTGACCTTGAACAAAGTTTCTAGGCCAAGAGTCAAGGTTAAAACCCCTTTCAGCTACTTTACATTTTTATGTTCATTGCTGAAAGTGGGACCCTTTGAGATGGCCACCATCTCAATGATATCTAATTTTAGTTTGAAAATTGCTAGAAAAGATAAAGTGATCTCATTGTAACATTATTATTTTTTAGTGTTTTAGATTATAAATAAATATAACAATATGCAAAATCTAAATTCTTTTATATTTTCTCTCCTTTGATTTACATAGCAGGCCTTGCAGTTTTTAGCTCATATGAGATTTTCTGATCACCTGTTGTCCATTGTCCATCCGTCTGACTGTCCATTCATCTGTAAACTTTTCACATTTTCAGCTTATTCTTGAGAACCATTGGGCCAATTTTGACCAGACTTAGTACAAAACATCCTTGGGTTAAGTAGGAGTTTAAATTATAAAAATATAAAGTCCCCTTCTGAGGGGAAATTGTCAAGAATATACAAAAATAGGGTGGGGTCATAAAAAAATCTTCTCAAGAACCACTGGGCCAGAAAAGCTAAAACTTCTGTGGAAGTATCCTGGGGTAGTGTTACTAGTGTAGATTCTAAATTGCTTGGATCATGACCCCTGGGGATTGGGAAAGGTCAAGATAGGTATTAGGGGGAAATCTGTTTAATAACATAATGGCCAAAGTTACTCAGGTGAGTGATGTGGCCCATGGGCTTCTTGCTTATCTAATTTAGTTTTATCTTTGTATGCAACACTTTTTCCTCCTTTTAGTTGTTACTGAGGTTCTAAGTAATTTAAGTTTTTTATGAAATATTTTTCCTTGTCAAGTTTTATAAGCATGTTCTATTTCATACACAAGTGGTATATGAAGATTTTCTAGATGTTTCATATTTTTTCAGTTTTTCTTGAAAAGCATAACTGATGTACATGTAATTGTAAGTACTGTGTTTGTCCCTTGTGATACATGATTAATTTATGTCAGTTTGAATTTATCATATATATTAAAATACACTATTATACAGTCTGTTTGTCATGGAATTAAACTTGTTAAGTTTTTTTTCCACCTCTATAATTGAAGATTTGGGGGCATATTTTGATAAACTGTCTGTCTGTTTATGTGTCTCCAACTTTACTAATTTTTACTACCCATGGCCATTCCTTTTGAACTTTTTTTAACCTTTAAGTTAGACTTTGACCTACTTTGGTAAAAAAAAAATGATGTGAATGATTAGTGCTAGGGCTTTCATATTTCAAATGTGAATTCCTTGTAATGAAACTTCTCTTTTTACCCCAAACAAAGAAAGTTTTAGGGATATATAGGAATCATATTGTCTGTGAATGTAATTTTGTCTAGGCTCTAACTTTGATATATGGAAACATTGGAAGCTTATACTTTTTGTAGAGCTTGCTTGTAATGACCCGACAGTGAGTCCTGATCTGACACAAGGTCATTCCTGCAAGTTCAAGGTCACTGGCCTAAAAGTATGAAATTTTTGTCTGGGTCATAACTTTGTAGAAAGAATCACTGGAAGCTCAAACCTGGCACAGGGATTGCTTATGACCCAAAAATGTGTCATGATCTTATCCAGTCATTCCATTTAGTTCAAGGTTACTAGTAGAAAAAAGGTATGACATAACTTGACTTTGTAATGGAGAGTCAGTGGAAGCTCATACTCGGTACAGATATTGCTCATGATCAAAGACTATGCCTTGACCTTTATCCAAGGTCATTTTGGCGATTTCAAGGTCACTGGTCGAAAAAAGAAAAAAAATGTCTCGGCTAAAACTTTATTTGGAAAAGAATTGGTACAGGTATTGTTTTTGAAATAAGGAAAGTTCTTATATTAATCCAGTGTCAATGCAGCAAGTTCAAAGTTACAGGCAGAATAGTGTAAAATTATTTTTTTAAGACTTTAACTTAACAGTGTAGAAATACTAGGAGCTCGTACTTGATACAAAGATTGCTCATTGGAACCTGATACAGGTACTGTTTATGAACCTAAGGAGTGTCATGACTTTAATTTGAAGTCAAATAGCAAGTGAAAGGTTGGTGGTATAAGAATTAAAAATTATGACAAGCCTTTATTATCTGATGGAGAAATATCTGTACGTATGCACAATGATTCACTTAAAGTTTACTAATGATCAAAGTATATGTGAATTTTGACTAGGTCTCAGTCTTTTTGGCAAGAAATTGAAATGAAATGAAATGGCAAATTGAAAAAAAAAAATTCATTTTGGACCAATCCCGATCAAAATAAAACCATAATGAATAAAATAGCAATTTATTGCCTTCTTTATTGTCCCCTGCTTTAGCGAAAGCGAGGGGACATTAAATCTCATTCGTCTGTCCGTCCGTCACAAAAACTTTAACCTTGCCCATTATTTTTGATTTAGTGGAGCTATGACTTTTATATTTCACTTGTTTGTCTCTTGTGAGAAGACCTTTCTTTGGGTACCACCATATTTGACCTTTTGACCTAGACCTTGGAGTTTGACCCACTTTTACACAAAAAATCCAAACTTTTACTTTGGCCATGTCTTTTGAATTGTAGAAACTAGGAATTTCATATTTCACATATGCATTTTTTGTGTCAAGGCCTTTCATTGGACACCAACAACTTTGACCTTTTAACCTTGACCTTAGAGACCAATGAAAAAACATTTACCTTGACCATAACTTTTGAACGGAAAGGGCTAGGGCTATCCTACTTCACATATATAATCCTTGTGAAAAGACCTTTCATTGGATACCAAGAACTTTGACCCTTTGACCTTGATCTTGGAGATTGAGCTAATTTTCAAAAACTTTGACCATGGCCACAACTTTTGAACAGTAGATACTACATGTAGGACTTCATATTTTTGCACATATGTTTTTTGTCGCAAGACCTTTCATTGGATACCAACAACTTTGACCTTTTGACCTTGGAGATTTCCATACTTATGAAAAAACTTGAATGGTAGAAACTAGGACTTACATATTTCACATATGTATTTTTTGTGGCAAGGCCTTTCATTGGATACCAACCATTCTGACATTTTGACTTTGACCTTGGAGATTTCCGTACTTATGAAAAAAAAAGATTAACCTTGACCATAACATTTGAACGGTAAGGGCTAAGGCTTTCATACTTCACATATGTAATCCTTATGAGAAGACCTTTCATTGGATACCAAGAACTTTGACCCTTTGACCTTGACCTTGGAGATTGACTGTCTTTTCC